TGAAAACCATTAATGTAAATATAAAAGATTGGGAGAGGGTATAGCTCAGTGGTAGAGTGTGTGCTTAGTATGCGCAAGATCCTAGGTTCAAACCCCTGTATCTATATTTTAAAAAAATTAAAAATAAATAAATAAACCTAATTACCTACCCTTTAGATAAATAAATAAATAAATTCTAAAGGATATACACTCCATTTCAAAAAGAAAACTAAAATTAGTATCAATCTCTAATGACCCTGTATTTAGTATTACAAATAAAACTGAGAATTCTGACAGTTCTAAATAGCTATCTTTGAAGTGAAGTGCTGTTATATTTCAAAACTGAAAAGTTTTCCTCCAACTAAGAACAGTATTCATTTTTCACCTTAGAAAACATTTCTTTCTATCACAGATCATTTCAGAAATGAAGAGCAAAGATTTATCTGAAAACAACAGCAAATACCAAAACACAAGAATGTCTGAATTTCATATGCATCAATAAATGCCTTAATTTCCTTTGTATGGATTAGTCTATGAGAAGGATAAAAAACCACAGAGGAGTAAAAGCCTAACACTGATTTTATATATTCCATTAAAGGAAACCAGATTGTTTATACATAACTTGAGATTATGACATCATTAGGCATGGATCACACTGTCAACATGTTTTTTAAAAAAGGCTTCTATGGGACTATTTAAGCAACTTAAGAGGGTACTTTTTTTCTGGACTTTGTTTTTAAGTAAATCATACATGCACATAATACATGCATAGATTATACTATTTCTCTTCACTAATGCAACTCCAGACAATATCTCTACTGAGTAATTTTATTAGTCTAATTTCAGCTAATGTAATATGCTCAAAACTATATACATTTAACTCAGTTATTAGGTACCAGTTATGTAGGCTCATTTCTGGACCAAATATAACACCATAATCCTTAAAAGCTGTGTAAGATGTGAAAAAAGACTGACTAAAACAAAAGAGCAAATAAAATGAATAATTAATATAGTAAAAGTATATTAATAACATCACCACTATACTATACCTATACAATTTTATTTATTTTCCATGAAAGCAATAATACTCTATTTTAAGAGTAACTTTTCAAAGAGAGCTATGATTACTCATGTTTATTAAATAAATCATCTAATTGACAAGAATGTTTCCCAAAGAACATGTCATCCAAGCATTATGTTTCCCAGAAGGAACAGTAAAAGTTGAGTTTGTCTTTTCCTAAATAATGAAGCTATAACAGTCTGAAGACATACTAATATTTATTAAACCAGAATCAATCAGAATGTTTCCCCTTGAGACTGAGAAGTTGATTTTTCAAATATCTAATAAAAATGGGATGACTTAACCCAGTAACTCTGCCCAAACAGAAAACAAACACTGGGCCACACAGATATCTGCCAATTCCAGAGAACATCTTCAGAGACACTTTCAGGTCTGTGACAAATTTTGATAGTTAACAAATACCCATGCAATGTAATGAGAACATGGTATGAAGAATAAGAACTGAGCGCCACGAAACCTCCTGTCTTAATTTAACTCCAACCCCAGTGTATTTCCTAGCTCTGGAAAAGAGAAGACGTGAGAGTAATTCAATTCAGTGACTCAAGTTCAAATCTATAGTTGGTCTGTTAACCTGTCACTGGAAACAGTACATGTGCTTCCTCTGCCTTTGTAATTGTTTATATTCCTGACTTTCCCTGACACCAAAAATAATTCTTACTCCCACCCTCACCAGCCCACCCTCCACCACACACACACACACACACACACACACACACACACGAGATTAAAAATAATTTATCTTTGTGCGTTTTACCCATGCAAAATTATAAAGCAAATTCATTAACTAAGATGTATCTATGAAGGTAAATTCTGCAAAAAAGCAAATGAAAAGATACATAATTATTTCTTTGCCTTTTACCCTAAGTTTCTGCTGGTGTTGTTTATAGTTTCCTGATAATTCCAAAACATTTTGCATTACCAGACATTTTTCCTTGACCTCGCCCTCTCAGAGAGTCAGCTGGAGGGTAATAGAGTCAAATTATTATTTCTCCCAAGTGAACGGCGACAGACTCTTCCAAAGGTGAACCAGTGGTGCTGAAATATGAAGTCAGTTTGTAGGTATTCAAGTCATGAAGGCAATAAGTAGACTAATGAAAATATCATTAATTGCAGGAAATTTTCTCAGTAGAGTCATGAGGTAACTATTTGACAAAATGTTTCTTTTGTTTTCATTTTTCCTTTATAAACATTATTAAACCCACTAATAATTCTTATAAAGTACAATAAGACCCATATAAGTATAGATTATTAATATCATGTATATATGATTCTTGGCCTACAGACTTGATGTAGCCCATACTCATCTTTGACCCTGGATCCCATTTAAATTCTTGGGATTCTTCCTCTGTAAATTATAATATACAGATACTGCATCAAACTAAGCTTAGAAAGGCCCTCCCTTTAAGAGGGGTCATGGAAAGCTACCTTAAGTCCCTAAAAGGTGACCCACATCCTGGTAAAACAGTTTCAATCTCATCTCTGTTCTTTACGAGTTTGTATTTGAACACATCAACACCTTTGTATCTCATCATTCTCATCTCTAAGATGAAAATAACCGTTTTGTCTATTCCCCTAACCATCAATACCATTTTTAAGAGTTATGATTTTTCTTAAGATAGCAAAAGCCAAAATGAGACACCACCCATTTCAAGCCTTCTGTCTCTGCTTTTTTTATCTTAAAAAAGGGGGAGAATAATGAAACTTCAAATAATGTTGGAAGTATTAATCGTGATACAAAGCACCTAGTATGTAATAAGCCTGAGATATTAATATGTGATACAAAGCACCCAGGATGCAATAAGCGTTTGATAAATGTCCTTTCCCTTCACCAATTTTCCATTTCATAAATGGGCAAATTCCATTTGAAATGTTGGCAGTCCAGATCAGTACCGTTTTATTGTCTCGCAGCTACCTCTTGACCCTATTCTTATCTCTTCCCACATCACCTTCCTGTATTTCCTGGCCTTTCTCTTCCAAGGGCCAAGGTCTTTTCTCATCTCCCTGACCTGAACCATAACTTTGTAGCTTGTCAGCGATGGCTCCTCTGGCCAGGTCTAGCTGCTGAGGCGAGCCTCAGTGACTCCAAGGTTGGACAGAGTTAAAGTAACTCCGAGCTGGGGCTGCCCAGACTCTTCCTGCTCATCCTCCTGGCCGTCTGGCCTCAGAACAGCAGGAGACGCGAAGGCATCACTGGAGTGATGACATGTAATTCTCTCCCTTCCCCACTCTTTACATTTTTCTTTCCACGTGCAGAACCCGGAAGGCTCTGACCGCTCTTGCCCTGGCGGTTGCCATGGTTACACAACAGCAGCACCAGACCCAAGAAGGGTGTCGTCCCGTTTCCTCTACCATCCCCTCAACCTTTTCCATCCCTTAGGACCCCCACCCCCGCAACACACTCACACATCGAGGAAGTACCTTTCTGGCTAAATTTAAAACTTTAATTCCCCGCCCCAACCCTTCTTTCTTGCAGAAGGCACTGGCAAGCTAAGGAAGGATGGGAGGGGCCTTGGAGGAGAAAGAAAAGTCCTCTTTGGGACTTTTTCTTTTTATTACGGCTTCAGTCGGGGCCAAACGTTGAAAAGTTCTCCCATTTAACTTAAATCTCCGTAACGAGGAATTCGGGACCTCAGCGGCCCCAGCTGCCAGGCGCGCGGCTCCCGTCCAGTTCCTTCGAGTCCACCCTGGTGGCGGGAGGGCGGCGTCTCCTCCTCCTGTCAAGTCCCCTCCGCGCACTGGAACGCAAGCAAAGCAACCAGCCCACGAGGCTGAACTCAAGTCATGAGGGAAGGAGACTCGGCCAGTGCCGAAAACCGCCCGGGCGCTGCCAGGGCAGCCCATTAACGCGTCAACTCCGGGAGCGGAGGGAGGGAGCGGGGCAGGGCGGTTGAGGGGAGGAGGATATCCGCAAGCTTAAAATCACCGGTTAAATTCCCAGCAGGGGTCAAATCCGGGTCTTTTCGGAGACTGCAAAGCCGAGGCTACCCAGGGATGCCCCGCTCCCGCAACAGTGCGTTTTTCCGGAACCGCCTTTCCCAGACAGCCAGTTTTGAGGTTGGTGTCTGCCTCCAACTCTGCCCTCAGAGTCTGGAAAGATGCCTGCTTCCATCAGACGGAGCGCTGCGGTTCGCTCAGTGAAAAAGGCGTCGCCCATCCCTCCCCAAAAGCACCACAACACAAATAACCGCCACGGCGTCCTCATCCCCTATTCCAGCCCGTCGGGAAAAGGAGAGAGCGAGGGTGCAGACGCCCTCGGTCAAGTCCTCGTCAGACGGTCCCCCACAACGCGTCTCCGAATGAACCTGCAGCCGGCGGAGCCACGGGGCACGTTCAAACGCGCTCTCGGCGCCGGGCCGGGAGGGAGCGAGGAAGCGAGGGAGGGAGCGAAGTTCCCGGTGCGTCTCGGGAAGAAAACTTTGCGCCGTGCGGGCCACGGAGGCTCGG